ATTAAAATATTTATTAGTGACTTGGGAAAGATATACTCTAGTTTTTGAGAGAAAAAATAAAGCCATTTAAAGTTTGTTCTTCTCTAACATAACTGCTATATCTATCTTCTCATAGTTAGGGGATTAGCATCCAAGATGCCATTGTGAGAGAACTCTAGTTATTGGGGGAACCTACACCCAATATTTCAACGTAGGTTCTTTCTATTTTCCATAAGTGTCAGCTGGCTAAGAAATAAAGAGAGACAGTATAAAGAGAGGAATTTTACAGCTGGGCCGCTGAGGGTGACATCACATGTTAGTAGGACCGTGATGCCCACCTGAGCCTCAAGTTCAAGTTTTTTACTAAGGATTTCAAAAGGGGAGGGGATATAAGAACAGGCAGTAGGTACAAAGATCACATGCTTCAAAGGGCAAAAAGCAGAACTACTAATAAGGGTCTAACAAAGATCACATGCTTCTGAGGGAACAAGACAAAGGGCAAAAGCAGAACTACTGATAAGGGTCCAACAAAGATCACAAGGCAAAGGGCAAAAGCAGAACTACTGTTAAGGGTCTGTGTTCAGTGGTGCATGTATTGTCTTCATAAACATCTTAAACAACAGAAAATAAGGTTCAAGAGCAGAGAATCGGTCTGACCACAAATTTACCAGGGCAGAGTTTTTCCCCACCCTAGTAAGCCTGAGGGTTCTGTGGGAGACCAGAGTGTATCTCAGTCCTTATCTCAACTGCACAAGACAGACATTCCCAGAGTGGCCATTTATAGACCTCCCCCCACGAATGCATTCCTTTCCAGGGTATTAATATTAATATTCCTTGCTAGGAAAAGAATTTAGTGATATCTTCCCTACTTGCACGTCTGTTTATAGGCTCTCTGCAAGAAGAAAAATATGGCTCTTTTTGCCCATCCCCACAGGCAGTAAGACCTTATGGTTGTCTTCCCTTGTTCCCTAAAAATCACTGTTATTCTGTTCTTTTTCAAGGTGCACTGACTTCATATTGTTCAAACACACATGTTTTACAATCAATTTGTACAGTTAACACAATTATCACAGTGGCCCTGAGGTGATGTACATCCTCAGCTTATGAAGAGAACAGGATTAAGAGACTAACGTAAGACAGGCATAAGAAATTATAAAAGTATTATTTGGGAACTGATAAATGTCCATATTAAAATGAAATCTTCACAACTTATGTTCCTCTGCTGCAGCTCCAGCTGGTCCCTCCATTCCGGGTTCCTGACTCCCTGCAACATCTAGTAAGTGCACTTCTGATCGGAGCATTCTAAAGTCTTCAAACACAAGCCGTTTGTTCACCAGTTCACTGTTTTGGTACATGGTGAGAGTGTGCACATATTTTTAAGACTCTAAGTTACTCCTTATGACTTACTTCTTTATTGAAAGCAAGATTTTATACAAGAATCCTATGGCTACTTCTCCACATTTCTTTCAAATATGTTGTATTTCTATTAAAATATATTTTACTCTTTTTATTTTTTTCCTTAGCTTTAAGTCTAGGAACACAAAATCAGCTACCTTTTGTTAATTGGTTAAATACCTATATCCATAGTTCCATTTTGCCAAAGTAGATATACTCATTTATACAGTAGCTATGTCTGTCTGTCTGCCTATCTCTTTGTGTATCTACTGAGATTAAAAATTGGTAACTATATTAAGAGTAATAAGAAAATCCGTGCAGTGTCTCATGGAGATCAGTTGGTAAATAAACATTTGGGGTTTATAGATAATCAAGAAGATAATGCTTATAAAATAAGTATTTCCTTATGCTTTCATGGTCTTGGATGCAGAGAATATTGATGGCTTTTAAAATGATTTTGGCCCTTTATTTATCCGATGATGTCTTCCTCAGTCAAAGTTTCTCTTCTATGCCCTTTTATTCTCATTTGTAATCTTTTATTACCAGTAATAAACAATTCACTAAGGTTTGGGTTCTCTTTTTTAAAAAAATCTTTTTATATCTCTTCTACAATGAAACCTTACATCAACCCAAAGTAATACTTTTAGAGGAGAAAGAAATAAAAGATAATTCATGAATGATACCAGAAATATACTGTCATTCCATTTGTAGGTACGTGTTATAAAGAATGAGGTAGAAAAGCAAAAATAAATATTACACTAGGATGCAAGATCAAGAGAGCCTTGGAGTCCATTTTTAAGTTTTTAAATAGTTTAGAGCAGGGATCTTTTTCTGAGATTCAGGAATGACTTTGTGATGGGAAAGGAAGCAAAAGGTTGAGTTTCTAAACATTCTAAGACTCATTGCAAAATTTTGGCTATATTTGATTATGTAACTTTTTTTGGTAAGGAAAAGAAATTTCATAGCTTTAATCACATATTGGTAGGAATCTGCCACCACAAAACAGAGAAAGACCACGGATAGGGAGTTCCTAGAGTTATAATAAATAGATATCTGCTCTTTTGAGTCATGTAAGGAAATTAAATTTAATGAAGATATTTCTTTTTCTTTATTTCCTTTGCCCTAATTCCTATTACGATGAATTTAATATATTTTGAGTCATTTGCTAAACCTTACATAAGTGAACAATGTAGAAAATATGAACAATGTAGAAAATATTTTGGACTCACATTTCAGCAGAAGGGTGCCATAGTGATAAGTGTACAGCGGGGTATTTCTGAAGGGCGAGTGAAAAGACAGAAAACAGAATGGAGTAGAAGCACTCTTTATCCTTGAGCCCACGCTGGGCCTCACCAGCTGGCTTATCATTCTAGATGCCAATAGATGCGGCATAAAGAAGGTCAGCTGCTAAACATCATGGAAAAACCAGAGAGTCCTTGCAGGATGTTTAAATTCTTGACGTAAGTTGACAAAGGATGAGGACATACAAGAGGAGGGTGAGTCAGTGACACATATGAGTTACACTCTCAGATGATCCAATGCCTAGTTCACATACCTTCTCTCAACAGCTGTTTTTATCGGCTACTTCAGAGAAATTCATAATGCATCTCAGGAGTTCTGCCAAATATATGAAATTCTGGCAGAGGCAGTAGGGGGAAACATGCTCCCCAGTTGGCATTTGCCTTAGGGATAATGTTTGATGGTCATAATGTATTTTTTGTCACATTTTTGCCTTTTCTGTAATAAGACTTACAGACATATCTAAATGCTGGAATCCATTTTAACCTTCTTCAAAAATATATGGACCATCAAGTCAAGTGTTTTTCAGATCCTTCCTATGAAACTTATTTCTAAATCATTTAATTTCTTTTCAGAAAATGTTTTCAAATGAACATCTTTTGCAAATGTATTTCTCAACTTAAGCTCATATCCCTCTTTAGCACTCACCTTTTGAGAGCTTTTGATAACTTTATAATTAAAATCCTATCAATACAACTCATGTAAAGTAATAACATCCTAGGCCAGGTATAAGTGTTGCAGGCTTTCTCAATATTTGGCATATATAGAGTATCATACACAGTTGGATTCCTTTGCAAAGAAAGTATTTTATATTTAGAGATTGCATATGGGGGCAGAGCTAATGTGTTATTTGAGTCCATTATATTTGTATTTTTTTTCAATGAATAAATTCTAAATTTCCCAACTTTGTGTGGAAAAACAAATCAATTTTGATTAAAAAGAAAATAAAAACAAGTTACATTTTGATAAAGAGGATTCACCTAAATTCTAGGCCCCAAGTCAGATATTTCAGAAGTCTCTTAGTATGGTTTTTAGGTCTAAAACAAACACAGCCTTTGCAGAGAGGCTTACTTAGAGCAACGAAGAATCTGCTTATGGTTTTTTAAGTAATTTTACTAAAATTTACAGAAATGAACAATTGGGCTTGGTCTCTACTACTTCAAATGAGATAACTAAAGTAAATAACAAGATGAAACACTGGACACAGGATTTGTAGAATTCTGGATGTAGATATGGCTTCGGCAATATCGGAGGAATAAGTTCTAGTGTTTTACAGCATAATAGGGTGACTATGATGAACAATAATTTATTGTATATTTTAAAATAGCTAGAGGAAAGGATTTTGAATATTCTCAACACAAAGAAATGATAAACGTTTGAGGTAATGGATATGCTAATTACCCTGATTTGATCATTACACATTGTATACATGAATCAAAATATCACACTGCTTGCCTGGGCAACATAGAGACACCATGTCTCTACAAAAAAAAAATTAAAAAATTAAGCTGGCATGGTGACATGCATCTGTAGTCCCAACTACTCAAGAGGCTGAGGTGGGTGGATTCTTGAGCCCAGGGGTTTGAGGCTGCAGTGAGCTATGATCACACCATCACACTCCACCCTGGCTGGCAGAGTGAGACCTTGTCTCAAAAAACAAACAAAAACACCACATTGTACTCCATAAATATGTACAATTATTGTGTGTCAATTAAAGATAAAAACAGCATAAGGTGAAGTGCACATCTGATTAAAAGATTGCATGATGTTTCTATATGATTCTAAGCACAAATGACTTCTTTAGCTTTTTTTTTTTTTTTTTTTTTTTTGAGGCGGAGTCTCCCTATGTTGCCCAGGCTGGAGTGCAGTGGCGCGATCTCGGCTCATTGCAAGCTCCGCCTCCCGGGTTCAGGCCATTCTCCTGCCTCAGCCTCCAGAGTAGCTGGGACTACAGGGGCCCGCCAACACGCCCTGCTAATTTTTTGTGTTTTGTTTAGTAGAGACAGGGTTTCACCGTGTTAGCCAGGATGATCTCAATCTCCTGACCTTGTGATCCGCCCGCCTCGGCCTTCCAAAGTGCTGGGATTACAGGCGTGAGCTACCGTGCCCGGCTGACTTCTTTAGCATTTTTATAAACCACTCACTTGTGACTTTTCTTCCAATTTTAAAGTAAAGATTCTCCATGCAAACTAACTAGTTGTAATAATGGCAGAGAAGCATTGTCCTTGCTAACGTGGGGAGAAGAAGTGAAAGCAATATCCAGAAGCATCATCCTCCTATATAAAAGATAATCTTTTTGATCACAGACAACACAAATGGTAGCAATGTTGGGCCAGCATAATTATATTAAATCCAGTTGTCATCTCAGCTGTATTTTTGTCTTCAGGAGTAAGCAAATGAATTTCTCAGTATTTTATCTTCAGTTGCTCTTAGGTTGTTACATTTGAGGCAAAATACTCTTGCAAGTAAAGTAAGATTTTTGAATGTAAATGGAGTAGAAACTTAGTGGTTTTAGAAACTGAATGCACAATAGAAAGAGATAACATTATTAGTTCAAATAAACTGAAAAGAATAGACATACAAATCACTCAGTTGTAATTTTAAAGAATTCCTCAAACTAAACTTGAATTTAAGCAGAAGCTTATGCTTACAGATTACTATTTGCTAGCTTACTAATTATTACTTGAATTAAGCAGTAAGAACTAAAAATTTAAGTTTCTTAGTTTTACGGGTTGATTTGAAGGCGTGCTATCTTGCTAATATCGAAATACATTTGTTTCTTAAAAATTACTATTTTATTGGATTATGTCAGAAGCAGGGCTGTGTTCTTGAGGAAGGACAAGTTTCTTCTCCGACTCATCAAAATGAAGCTCTCACTGTTCTGCCCTTCAGAGGTTGGGTTGGGCGGTTGTTGCGCTGAATGGGGACAGGGTTATCACCTTCAACATTTGATAGAAGACTGCGGAATTGTGCCAGCTGGAAGGATAAAATATTTTAAAAATAAAAAGTTTTTAAAGATGCATAAAGCGTTTTATTTACAGTATTACTAATGCACTGATATTTAGAAAACTGAGTTAGAAATTGCAGTGATATCACTAATAGGAAGAGAGAAAGCCCTAAATCCTCTACATTCATTCCTTTGAACCAGGCATTTTGCTTTAATTATTGATGACTGGGTTAAAGTATCAACTTTTTAATTTCAGCTGGGGTATGTTGGGCGAGTGATGTATTAGCTTGGTACCTTAGTTTCCATATAGCACTTACTTCACTGTGTTGTTGTGAAGATTAAACGGGTTAATACATGCAAAGCCCTTAGAATGATGCTTGACATACAGCATGTGCTCAACAAATGTCAGTTAGCAGCAGGCTACAATGCTTGTCCTGTAGGTTTGTTATGAGAATTGGCTACCAAAACATATGTAAGGCACATAATAAAAGTGGTTGAGCAACCAATGATACTTACTGTAATCACAATTATACACAACATTTAATGAGATATTTTGCTGAATATTTCAAAGTTTAAGCTCCACAAAAGGAACAAAAATATTTTGCCAACTATCAAGGTATGCCAGCTTACAGCCACAGTTCCCCAAAATCTTATTGAAATGTCCACACAGTTTTTCTTTTATTTCTGAAATGCTTAAGAAGATATTTAACAGGTCGGACATTTCCTTATTAAGGAGGAAAGAGTAGTGGGAGTCATTTTTTTTCTGTATAAAGGTCAAAAAAATTGTATTATAATGCAGTTTTGGATAGTTTAATAAACCGATGTCCCGAATTAATATTTTTAAGTTGGGAGGAAAAATGAACTTCTCACAAAGCTGACTGAAATAATAATCTCTCTCACTGATACTACCAATTAAAGTAATATTCCTGCTACATATTCCCAGTTCCCATTCATTCACAACTCTACCTGCTCTGAGCTGACACTGATGCTCTCCTTACAGATGATCCAGGTTACACTCTCATAAAGAGGAGGATGAGTCAGAGAGCCAGAGTAGGTCCAGAAATCCAGGGATGAAGGAAGGAGAGTAGAGGGGTCAAAATTTGTGAACGGGGCTCGTTTGCCCTGGAAGAAAATAATACATCATTACAGCATGATATAAAATACTTATATGAATATATATATGCTATATTATCTTGTTATACATTATGTAGACATTTTAGCTAAGAGTCATTGATTTTTCTACTATTTAGTATTTCTTGACTGGTGTGTTTGTGGGTATAAACAATAATATCAACAGAAGAAAAAAGATGAAAAATGTGTTACATGTAAATTTTTGACCAAGACATCTTCTTCCTTCTTCATTTGGTTGCAGATAAGCAAAGATGCAAAAAACGTTTTTACAATCTGTATCTTTAAAAGATATTTAACTTCTAGTATAACACTTTTATTTTTTCTCTAGGAATGATGCCAGATTCTATTTCAATGGCAAAGATCTTTATTGACATGCATATTGGTTGTTTTAGTTTTATTCTATTTATTCCTATCATCTTTTCTGATTATTACTGGTGTATAGGAAATGTACTGACATTTGTATGCTAATCTTTTATGCATTCTGTATTTTAGATGATTCTTCTGGAGTGTTCAGGTGGATGTTAATGATGATATCAACTGCACGTAATGATAGTTTTGCTTTTGCTATTTCAATATCTGTCATAGTATGTACTCTTTCATTATTTCGTTGCACTGATTAGGACCCTTATTATAATTTTCAGTTGTGATGGTCACAGTGGCAGCTTGGTCTTGTGCCTGATTCAAATGAAAATGCTTCAAGTGTTTCACTATGAAGTTAAATGTTGATACAAGTTTCTAGGTAAAATTCTTTATCAAATTCAAGAAGTTTTCAGGCAGTTTTCTTTCATTTTGTTTCATCCTAAAGAAAGGGCATTAACTTTTATAAAATGATTTTTAAGCACTTAACAAGTTGATCATGAGGTTTTCTTCATCTTTAGTTAATATAATGAATTAATTTAAGATTTTCTAATATTGAGTCATTCTTGTATTTTTTGGATATACGCTACTAATTCAGAAACTACTCTTTTAATACACTGTTGAATTTGATTTGTTATAATAAATGTTAGGATTTCCTTTAGCTATATTACTAAGAAAGTTTATGCTATGTTTCTGTTTTGTGTGTTTTGTAGTTTTCATACCCGGTTTTGGTATCGATTCCATTAAATTGATAGGAAGTTTTCTGTCTGGTCCTTCATCTGGGCAGGTTAGTTAACACTGGCATGATTGTTTCTTAAAAGTTGAGTAACCCTTTTCCATGAAATGGCCTGGGCCTAGTCTTTTCGTTTAATAGATACATTTTGACTATTGTTTACATTTACTTTTAGGTTCTCAGTCTATTTAGGTATTCTAACTCCTTGTGAGTCAATTCCCTTACTTCACATTTTCTTGGAAAATTATCCATTTTATCTAAATTTTCAAATTTATTGGCATAATGTTATAAAAAATTTTGTCTCTTAAAATTTTCTTCTATATCTTTAGTCATAACCCATTTATTTCTAATAAAGTTTTATATGTATGGCTTTTTTTCTCTTTATCCAGCTTCCCCATATTCTGACTTTTTTGTTGTTCTTCGAAAGAATCAACTTTTCAATTTATTGATGAAATTTTACCCCTTACTTAGTCATCATTTTTCTTTTTAAAATTTATTTATTTAAGATAGAGTCTTGCTCTGTTACCCAGGCTAGAGTGCAGTGGCAAAATCTCGGCTCACTGCAGCCTCCACCTCCCAGGTTCAAGCGATTCTCCCGCCTCAACCTCCTGAGTAGCTAGGACTACATGCATGCGCCACCATGCCTGGCTAATTTTTTGTATTTTTGGTATAGATGGGATTTCATTATGTTGGTCAGGCTGGTCTTGAACTCCTGCAATCTCAATCCTGAAACCTTAGGCAATCTGCCCGCCTAGGCCTCCCAAAGTGCAGGGATTGCAGGCATGAGCCACCACACCCGGCCATAAATTTTCTTTCTTATTTTATTCTTTTCTGCTTTTATCTTCACTAATTATTTCCTTCTATTTTCTTTTCATATTTTTTTGATAACTCTTGAGTTGAGGGCTTATTTTTCATCTTCTGTCATTTATACTTTATAAGACACTCACTTAAGTTTAATCTTTTCTAGAATCAGCATAAGTCATATTTATTTTACACAAAAATATGACAGTTCTCCATGCTGCAAAAAATGACAAATCTCTGATTTATGTTTTAACTACTTACCATTAAAACAATAAAGCTAAGTTTGTGTATATCAAAAAATCCATTTTTTGAGTTGACTAATGAGAGTTATGGTTATCAAAGATTGTATATCAATCGTATCTCAAAAGAATGCCCTTTACTTCTGAATATTTGTACTGCTAAAAAACTAGAGATATCTTTATTTGTCAAATGGGAAATCACAATTTTGTTAGATACAGTTTTTCAAGCAAATTTAAATGGCTATGTAATCTGCTTTTCTACAGGCCATATTCTGCTGAAATAAATAAACCATAACTATGAAAAACAAAAAACCAAAACAATCCCCTGCATTAGAGACTTTCTCAGAGGTAGGCAATGTTGAAGTAGCACCTTGATTTTTAGTTGGTAGCTTTTGCTATCGCCTTCCTACTTCCCGGTTTTAATACTTCATTAAATGATTTCCATAGATTTGTAAATTCTTGTTCTCTGATTTAAACTACCTATTTAGTGTATTTACCTTGGTTTTAATTGCATGGAGGGCATCAAGTACTTTCTGCAGCTTTGGGTTGGCCTCACCAACCTGGAGATTTAAGAAAATAAAGTATGAGATAAAGATTATTGTCAATCAAACACTGCTTAGCTAAGCTTCAATTTTTTTTCAATTAGCAACTGACGAGAGATAAGGTATTTTCTCTCTGCTTTAGAAGGAGAAGTTTTTCAAGCTGTATGTCTTTGAGAGCCTTTGTACTCTATAAATTGTTTCTAATATGTACCTACGGATAAAGTAGCAAACAAAAAACTTGATTAAACTTGATTGTTGGCAATATGTTCAAAGTTTTACAGGGCAAAATCTAGAAATTTATCAAAACTGACATGAAAACAAATCTCTTATTTTGGTCTGTTATGTTACTTATCATTACTACAGTTTTTGGCATATTGTAAGTGCTCAGTAAAGGTTAAGTAGAGATGCTACAATTTCCAGAGTTACTTAGTTACCCAGGCATACCCAATTTAATAATAACTTTTTTGTAGAACTTTTCAGGGATTCTTCTATAGAGTATTTGAGCAACATCTCCCATTTAAAAAAATCAACTGAATGTTCTTTGTAAGAAAAAATTCTCTTTATTTCTTTCCTAATGAGATTTTAAATTGATAAATTTCTGAATCTATGGTTTCAGGTTTCCTTATTAATATTTAATAATATTTCTTTCCTGATGAAATATTAAATTAATAAATTTCAGAGTCTATGAGGTAGGAATTTTAGAGGAAGGGGAATTTGGAAGAGCTGGGAAATAGAAATTCCTTTTTCCCTATGAACACCTTTCTATCTCACCTGCACCTGAAACTCATTTCTCTCAGAGGGAAAAGCAGAGATAAAACCAAGCAATAAAATCCTAGGGAACTATTTTTTCACCTGTAGTCATCGGTTGAATGGGAACTTTAAAATAAGAAATTCTAAAATATATGTTGCCTTATTTCCTTCTATTTTGAGGTCTAATTGGAAGCAGAGCTGTGTAACTTAACTACCTGTAACTCACCTTCATCAAAACGCCAATAACTGCCAAACCATCAGCCTTTGAGACAGCTTCAGCAAGGCTGGAGTATTTTGCAGAATTCCAGTGAACTATATGAAGCTAAAAATGATACTCTGGTTAATTAATTATTTATACCAGTATGATGACAAAAGGTAAGTTATAAGTTAACTTGTTACCATATGATGATGTATCTTGGCTTAGATACATAAAACTTATGTGAACCTTTATCCAGTGGATTAGAGGAGTTACCTTGTTACTCTTAGGAAGGGTTATCTGTGTGCCAAGTAGAGATTGCAAAACCTGGAACCAGTAAGCAAAATGTCCTTTCCTACAATATTGTTATTTAATATTACTCCTTTAAATGTATCTCTCTTTGTTATGAAAGGATCAGGAAACATGACTAACTAGTTTTTGGGAAAATGATTGAAGTAATTTTCTCTCACATGAGGTACTTTGTAGTAAATTCGTGAGAAAGGGTTCCTGGAGTATCTGGGAGTCTCGGCCAAGAACGGATTCTTTCAAGCACATTAGTGCCCTTTTGAGACGCCTCTCAAATATCTCCAGTTTAATGTCTCTGCAAACTAGATTTGTATATCCAAGTATGTATGTATGTATTCTTGATATCTCTACATGGATGTCTAATAGATGTTTCAAACTTAATCTGGCCAAAATAGAACTCTAGATTTCCTTCTTGCCAAACCTGCTTAAATTTACCTTCCTAGGATAAGGTTTTTTAATTGCTGAATCAATAAGTACAACAATTATCATTCATTTCTTACTTTCCCCACCTATCAACATTCACATCTTACAGATTATACTTCATCACAACTTTGAGTCTTTGCATTAGCTTCTAATATTCTCTGGAATTTCCTTCCCCATGATCTTCAAGTGGCAGACTTTTGTCTTGAGTTAGGGTTGAACCCAAATGCCACTCCTTAAACAATTCTTTTCTGATCATCCAACATAAAGTAACCACCACAAATCAAAACAATTCTATCCATATCGCTTATTTAATCTCTCTTCTTCCTATTCTCCTCCCTCCCTCCCTTCCTTCTCCCCTTCCTTCCTCTGAAATTTTTATTTTCCCTATCAAAAGCAAGTTCTGATCACAAGTACTTTTTAAAAACAGTATCTCACGCCTGTAATTTCAGCACTTTGGGAGGCCGAGGAGGGTAGATCACGAGGTCAGGAGTTCGAGATCAGCCTGACCAACGTGGTGAAACTCCGTTTCTACTAAAAATACAAAATTAGCCAGGTATGGTGGCACATGCTTGTAATCCCAGCTACTCAGGAGGCCGAGACAGGAGAATCACTTGAACCTGAGAGAAGGAGGTTACAGTGAGCCGAGATTGCACCTCTGGACTCCAGCCTGGGTGAGAGAGCAAGACTCTTTCTCAAAAATAAATAAATAAATACAAACCAAAAATAAATAAAGAGAGTATCTGGCATATTGTAGGTGTTCAATGAATATTTGTTGAATGAAAAAAGAATGATTAAGACAGTATATTCAGAGAGATCACTTATTGCAATTTCCTCTGACCATGCCAGTCTAGATTCTGTCCCTACTTGTAATTAATTATTCTTACATCTGTATTCCTGTGCTTCTTTGTGAATAGTCATGCTGCCATTTACTACTATATTTATTTAATCACAATAATTTATGCCTACACTTCCCTGCTTGAAAAGGGCTTGCTTGTGTCTCTATGGAAATGTTAAGTAACATTATTCAGCACATGCAACATGAAAGGTGCTGGTCTAAGTGTGCTCTGTATGGGTTTACTCTTTTCATGCTGTTAACAATCATTGAAATGGATACTAATGTTATATTATCTAGATTCGCTATATAGGAATATTGGAGCATAGAGTGATTCGTTCGAAGTTGTACAGCTAGTAAGTGGTCGAGCTTTGATTCAAACCCTGGCAGTCAGCTGGGTACTTGCATTCTTAGGCAACAGGCTGCCCTGTCTCTCAAATCTAGTGTCTTATAGCTATCCCAAGAAGGTTTATTGAATTGAATTTAATCACATGCTAAACTTTGTGGCTAAGTGTCTCTCATATCTAGCATGGGTTATATTGATTTTTCTCAATTTAGGTGAGAGAGTCACTAATTTAGTTTTCTTGGATACTACCAACTGTCTTTCCAAAAAGATAATACTAATTTAGGCTGTTAGTCCATTTAATTTTAATCTATCTTCAATTTTATGGAGGGGAAAATCCAATTAACAGATTCTCGCAGCATTGAAAGGTGTTAGTCGTGCTTTACAACACAAGGTAAAGCAAGTTTTATTTGTACACAATCACTGATATTCTATCAGAATAAAAGATACATATACTTTGTAACTTGGCAATCTGCCCTGTAAAAATCTATCCTACATAATTACTTTCATTAGTGCACAATATATATATACAGATATATTTACTGAAGCATTTTTTAATAAAAGGAAAAGAAACCAATTAAACAAAAATCATATGTTGTGATTGTTCATCAATAGAAGGCAGTTAAATAAATTATGATGTATTCACCCAAATGAAATACTATACAGAAAGTAAAAAAGTGAGGTAAAATTCATTCTTCTTCTTTTTTTTTTTTTTTTTGAGACGGAGTCTCGCTCTGTCGCCCAGACTGGAGTGCAGTGGCGCGATCTCGGCTCACTGCAAGCTCCGCCTCCCGGGTTCACGCCAGTCTCCTGCCTCAGCCTCCGGAGTAGCTGGGACTACAGGCGCCCGCCACCACGCCCGGCTAATTTCTTTTTGTATTTTTAGTAGAGACGGGGTTTCACCGTGTTAGCCAGGATGGTCTCGATCTCCTGACCTCGTGATCCGCCCGCCTAGGCCTCCCAAAGTGCTGGGATTACAGGCTTGAGCCACCGCGCCCGGCCCATTCTTCTGATTTTTAAAAATTATCGTGATAAATGGGTAAATAGAAAAAAGCAGGTTGCAAAATTATGTATATTATAGAATTCACTTTGATGAAAGCAAAATTAAAGAGTCAACCTGCGTGTATGGGTACACATGCATTATATAATTCACACATCTAAAGTAAAGAGCAAAATTTCTCCCATTTTAATCTCCCAGACCCTCTATTGACAGTTTGGTGTACATGTCTTCAATTTTTCTTTGGATATACAGGTAATAATGTCCTGAAATAAGTCACAAATTCCATGTGAGAGCGGTTTAAGAGCCAGGGAAGCTCAAACCCTCATCTAGGTGTATGCTGTTCTTTGTGACCATTGCTATGGTTAAATTCGAGCTGATAGTAGAGTCTCATTGAATTGTCCCAGCTTGGTCACAACCATACTGCTGGTGTGTCCAAACTTGAACATTTAAATAAAGAGGAAATGGTTGTGTGTTCCATTTGAGGTTAGAGCTTTAAAGGAGAGCAGTGTCACCCTTTGAAGCTAGCCATGATATTAAGGTAACAGTTTTTGAGGCATTCTCAGGGAAAGGTGAATCTTGGGCTCAGGAGTTTAGCTGCCTCTTTCCACATGAAACATTTCACTCTCTTGCCAAACGTTATGTGTCTGTGCTTGATTTTAATGGAACCTGGGAGTTCATTAGTGGAATACTCATTCCTTTGGAGTCGTTATGATGTTGTTTTAGGAGAGAAGGGAGAAACTGCTTCTGGGAGTACTCTCAGGGTAATTATCTCTCACTTACTAAATTACATTACCTCGCTAGAATATTTCACTCCATCCACTGTATGTTCAGAACCATACTCATTTGAACTGCCCCAGTGAAAATGGAACTGAAAGAGCCTATAGCTGTCGGAGAAAGGACCACCTTTCAGCACTGGAAGAAAAGGGAACCGATTGTTAGTCTGATGCTCCGCAAACTCTAGCTTATCTTTGCATTTAATACAAACCAACACTAAATTGTGTTGACTAGAAGTGAAAACAAACATTAGTGCCTACACTTTCATCTTGTTTTACCCCACATCTATGAGGATGACAGTCATATGTATGGTACACACCTGACTGTGGCATTGATGAGATATTCCATGAGTTATATACATTTCCCAGCACACGAGCTATAATTTTACCTATTTCCAACTCCTAGAAGGCATATTGCAAGGTGAGTGAATTATATCATTACAGGGCTGTCCTTGAATCTCCTTTTATTTGCAAATTTATTCCTTCATTCTTTCAACATAGACAATATGCATCAAAAATCTTTAGTAGTTTATTTTGAGTAATGAACCATTCATCACCTACTCTGCAACTGATGAAGACACAACAGTGTATATTGACAGCTTTGTTGAGAATCCCTGGCCAAGGACCAAGAGAGAGTACCAGTGGGGCAGTGGGACACTTTTAAAACTTTGTTTGGAGAGCCTATCCAATGATAATATTAGCTAAATGCACATCATACCAGACCTAATCTAATATTAATAATGGACATAGCCCCAAAGTACTTAAAATTTAGGCTTCAGAAGCTCGCAAACAAGTTTAGCATTTTAAATCAGTAGAACTGTTTTATGGAATTGTCATTTAATAAAATATTCAATAAACCTTCATGAAAAGCTAACTCTGTAGCAAAATTTGTTCCAGATTCTGGAGTATAAGGATAATTCAGTCACTGCTTTGTTTTTCTTTTCTACTGTGCTCATTCATCTTCATCCCAATTAGAAAATATTTTTCTTTTCAGTTGTTATATTTGTAATGACTGGTTCACTAGACCTTTCTGGATAAATACTGTTTATTCAGAGAGAGTGAAGTGAGCACACAGATACCAGAATGACCAGAAGAGATGTGATGGTGACTTTGAGAAGAAAGACTGAAAATACAGAGCTGGGAATTCCAAAAATTGTCTTTACCACCTGGGCATTTTCCAGAAGTCCAAGATGCCTCACTAGATTACAGTAACGCTACACACAAGCACAAAAGACTTAGAATGGGTGTCATGTTTCTCGAGTACTATTTTTTAAACTTCCCCAGTAGACTGTAAGAAAAAAAATATCAGCAGAGTCTTTCAGCTCACCTGATCGGTTATCATTGTCCTCAAAATTTACATGGAAGGAATGTCCCACATTGATAATTTCTTTGGCTGTGGCTGGGTTGTAGGAGACACTAATAGGTTTCAGAGAGGTGTCATGTTTGGCTTCACTGGTTTTAATATCAACAGGGGACTGGTTATTTCCATTGGCAATGGGATATAGCTTGCTCCATTGTTCAGGACCTACAAGGACAAACACATGTGTAAAATCAATACTTTATCAAATGCTTGATTCCAAGTTTTAGGAGTGTAGTTACCTGTTTGCTTACTAGATTAGGGTTTAAGTGTATTAAATGATATTCTGTTAAGATTAATACAAATTCTGTGTTTGAAAATGTCCCTTTTCTTTCTTTCTTTCTTTTTTTTTTTTGACAGAGTCTTGCTCTGTCACCCAGGCTGCAGTGCAGTGATGTGCTCTCGGCTCACTGCAACCTCTGTGTCCCAAGCTCAAGCAATTCTCATGCCTCAGCTTCTCGAGTGTCTGGGATTACAGGCATGTGCCACCACACCTGGCCAATTTTTTTGTATTTTTAGTAGAGATGGGGTTTCATCATGTTGTCCAGGCTGGTCTCGAACTCCTGACCTCAAGTGATCCACCCGCCTCTGTCTCCCAAAGTGCTGGGATTACAGGCATGAGCCACTGCCCTGGTCTCTTTTCTATATTATACTATAAAATAATGTATTTGTCAATACTACTAATATAGATCTATACTCATAGTATATAGGATTAGACTATACATATTTTGTTATCAGCAATAGATTTCTAATACAAGCATACCTCATTTTATTGAATTTCACTTTATTGTGCTTTGCAGATATTGCATTTTTTATAAACTGAAGATTTGTAGCAATCTTGCATCAAGCAAGCTTATTAGGGGCATATTTTCAACAGCATGTGTTTACTTCACGTCTCTGTGTCACATTTTGGTCATTCTCACAATATTTTAAACTTTTAAATTGTTCATATATCTATCATTGTGATCTTTGATGTTACTATTGTAATAGTGTTGTGGCACCATAAACCATGTCCAAGTAAGATGATGAACTTAGGCCAGGCGCGGTGGCTCAAGCCTGTAATCCCAGCACTTTGGGAGGCCGAGACGGGTGGATCACGAGGTCAGGAGATCGAGACCATCCTGGCTAACACGGTGAAACCCCATCTCTACTAAAAAATACAAAAAACTAGCGGGGCGAGGTGGCGGGCGCCTGTAGTCCCAGCTACTCAGGAGGCTGAGGCAGGAGAATGGCGTAAACCCGGGAGGTGGAGCTTGCAGTGAGCTGAGATCCGGCCACTGCACCCCAGCCTGGGCGACAGAGCAAGACTCCGTCTCAAAAAAAAAAAAAAAAAAAAAAAAAAGATGATGAACTTAGCCTGTAAATGTTGTGTGTGTTTTAACTACTTTATTGACTGGCTGTTCCCCATCTCTCTCCCTCTCTATAAGTCTTCCTATTCCCTGAGACAACAATATTGAAATTAATCTGATTAATAACCCTACAATGACCTGTAAGTATTCCAGTAAGAGGAAGAGTCACATGTTTCTCACTTTGAATCAAAAGCTAGAAATGATTAAGCCCAGTGAGGAAGGCATGTCAAGAGTTGAGACCGGCCAAAAGGTAGACTTTTTGTACCAGTTAGCCAAGTTGTGAATGCAAAAGAAAAGTTCCTAGAGAAAATTAAACATGCTACACCAGTGCACACACAAATGATAAGAAAGCAAAGAAGCATTATTGCTGATATGGAGAAAGTTTGAGTAGTCTGGATAGAAGATCAAACCAACAACCACATTCCCTTAAGCCAAATCCTAATTACACAAGCTTACAGCTCTCTTTAATTCTGTGAAGGCTGAGAAAGGCAAAAAAGCTGCAGAAGAAAAGTTAGAAGCTAGTGGAGGTTGGTTTATGAGATTTAAAGAAAGATGCCATCTCCATAACATGAAAGTGCGAGGTGAAGTGGCAAGTGCTGATACAGAAGCTGCAGACAGTTATGCAGAAGATCTAGCTAAGATAACCAATGAAAGTGACTACACTCAAGAACAGATTTTCAGAGTAGACAAAACAGCCTTCTATTGGAAGAAGATAACATCTAAGACTTTCATAGCTAGAGAGGAGAAGTCAATGCATGGTTTCAAAGTTTTAAAAAATAGCCTGACTCTTTTGTTAGGGTCAAATGCAGTTGTTGACTTTAAGTTGAAGCCAACACTCATTTAGTATTCTGAAAATCCTAGGACCATTAAGAATTATGCTCAATCTACTCTGCCTGTGTTCTCTAAAAGGAACAACAAAGCCTGAATGACAGCACATCTGTTTACAGCCTGGTTTACTGAATATTTTGAAGCCCACTGTTGAGCTCTACTCCTCTGTAAAAGAAGATTCCTTTCAAAATATCACTGCTCATTGGCAATGCACCTGGTCACCCAGGAGCTCTGATGGAGATGTACAAGGAGATTGATGTTATGTTCATGCCTACTAACACAGCATCTATTCTGCAGTCTATGGATCAAGGAAAAATTTCAACTTTCAAATCTTATTTAAGAATACATTTTGTAAGCCTGTAGTTCCCATAGATAATAATTTTTTTATGATGGATCTGAGTAAAGGAAATTGAAGTTGTCTAGAAAGGATTCACCATTCTGCATGAACATTCATAATTCATGGGAGAAGGTCAAGTTATCAACATTAACAGGAGTTTGGAAGAAGTTGATTCCAAAGTCATGGATAACTTTGAGCTTTCCCAACCTTCAGCAACCACCACCTGATCAGTCAGCAGTCATCCACATTGAGGCAAGACCCTCTCCATCAAAAAGATTAATACTTGGCTAGCTGTGGTGGCTCACACTTGTAATCCCAGCACTTTGGGAGGCCAAGGAGGGTGGATTATGAGGTCAGGGGATCGAGACCATCCTGGCTAACACGGTGGAACCCCATCTCTACTAAAAATACAAAAAAATTAGCTAGGTGTGGTGGTGGGCACCTGTAGTCTCAGCTACGCAGGAGGCTGAGGCAGGAGAATCACTTGAACCTGGGAGGCAGAGGTTGCAGTGAGCCTAGATCGTGCCATTGCACTCTAGCCTGGGTAACAGAGTGAGACTCTGACTTAAAGAAAAAAAAAACTAGTACTTCTGAAGGTTCAGATGATCACTAGCATATTGTAGCAATAAAGTATTTTTAATTAAGGTAGGTATATTTTTTGGACATAATGCTATTGCACATAATAGACAACAGCATAGTGTAAACATAACTTTTAAATGCCCTGGAAAACTCCAAATTTTATATGACTTGCTTTCTTGTGATATTTGCTTAATGATAGGGGTCTGAACCTGAACCTGCAGTATCTCTGAGGTATGTCTGTACATATATCAAACATATTTTGTAGTCAGTCATGCCCCGAAAGACAATGCTAAGAATACATGCAAAGATAGTATAATTATTTAAAGCAGCCAGTTCAACAATTAACCTATGGCTGTACCGTTATTTTAAATGCTTAATATCTCTTCTGTTGGAAATGGAAAGAAGCTATCATTTTGATCTATATAAACAGGAGAACTCTTACCATTTTTGTCATCATATCCCCAGTCTGGACTTGCCATTGTCTTCTACTGAGTTTTCTTTTTCTGAAAACAAAAATAATACCTGGAATAACTAACTGCAACTGTGCGTGCAGGAGATGCCTTAAATCCCTGCTTGGGCATTTTTATAGAAACTTGTTTGCCCTTAATAGGCCATTATTTCATCATCTCTGCTTATCAGGAAGTACACATATCTAAAAAAAGTGTTGTAAAAAATTCTACAAGGGCTATGTTAGTTTCAATTGCTTTATTTTCTTATATTATAAAAGAGAATGATCAAATCCTAGATTTTATAAAGCCAAGTCCTGTTTCACTCATGTTAGTAGAAGATATGGCTTAATATTATCACATATAATTCTTTAGATTTTCTAAATGGAAAATATTTTGTACACTTAAGATTTCCAACTCTACCTTTGTTAGTTACTTAAGCAATATAAGCAAAAGTAATTTATCAGGAGAATAATTTGTGTGTTTACAGGCTGGTCTGAACTAGTATCATAATGTTAATTTAAAATCAGATAATTAAATTACTAATCATTTGTAATATATGCTATTTATAATGGTACATTTTACAGATGTACAGGGTAAGAATAAAGTCCTTTTTGGAGCAATATTGGAATTCATAAATGGAGAAGATTTTATTAATATTAAAGTTATATATGGCCCAATATTTATTTGATACATCAAATAGGTCTACTAGAATGAAAGTCTTCCTTTTTAATAGTTCTATATAATTTATAAACCCCTTTCTTATTATTTTATTTCACCATCACACATACATACAAATCCCATATAGTAAGAATTAGCATTTTGTAATTGAGAGATGTTGAGGTACTTTGCCATAACTAGCAACAAGCCAAGAAGCCAAGACTTCAGCCTCCTAATCCAGTTGCCTTCTTCACTTACCTTCACCAAATGCCACAATTAATTCCCCTCCTATGCTCACAATACTCTTAAGTCCAAGTTAAGCCTGGACCAAGATGAAAACTGATGCCCACTCAATGATGAGAAGCTACACAGGACTTTTCAGGAAGGCAAAGAAAACTGATTAGAATGTGCCAGACTCTGACCAGTTCTACATATTCAAAGCTCTAAACATGCTTAAAGAGAAGACAACCAGAAAAATAAGCTTCCATAGTGATGCTTTTTTCATGCCATGATAGTCATTCCTCGTTTCACACTGTAAGGAGCTGCTGCAACCCTTAAAAGAAGAGAAGGATCAGGGCAATTTTCACCAAGGCTGACTGGAGACACGTTGTTTGCTCCTTTGCAGTTAATGATGGTGCATTGTCTTATAGGCAGAGTGGGATGTGGTCATGAACATCCACAGAGTGGGAAGAGACGCAAGCTCCCATTCTATGGCTTCAGTAAGCATAAGAAGATATTGTTTAAAAGGGAATTATTTTTTTTTCAAAGTACTGTTTATTGAAGGCCCAATAGGGATCAACTGCTGTGCTAAAAACTTTACGTGCATCAACTTATTTAATTCTTATTATAACAAAATTGGGCATTAAAATCTGTGTTTTCGGCTGAGATGGGAGGATCTCTTGAGCCTACGAGTTCCAGATCAGCCTGGGCAACATAGTGATACCCTGTTTCTGGGAAAAAAAAATAAATAAATAAAAATTGTGTTTTATATTAAAAAAATTGAGGCTTAAAGAGGTGAAGACACCTCCTCAGGGTTACAAAGCTTGCAAGTGGCTGTTTATATCCCATAAGCCTAGGGTTTAAACCTAGATCTGTCTAATTCCAAAGCTAATACATTTTCTCAACCTTCCACTGTCAACAATTGTCCACTGACCTCTAGTTGATTCTGTTTTCTGGAGGATTGGATTAGGTGATGTAGCTTGGTTTGGCTCAAGATGACCAAGAGTCAGGCTTCATCCTTGGGCTCACTTCACTCTGGAAGCTCATGGAGTGACAGGAGCAGGCTACCCTTTGCCAGGTAATTTGTCTCCTAATATTGTATACTTGTGAAAAGTAACTTTAGCTTGAACTGCTCTATTAATCAACAAATTTGAAAAACAGCAACCCCCTTTCATTACATGATTATGTGATGATTTGTTACATGAATGCTTTAACATCCATATGGAGTGGTAATTTATTTAAAGTTTTAGGTACAGAATGACACTGGACCCTAACTATTATCACCTTTTATTTTATTATGTACCCAGGGCGTGCTAGTGTACTGCCTCAGGCAGAAAATTATATAGAGAAAGGATATGAAGTTTAACGAGCTTTTATGAGTCCAAACACCCTTCCCATTTACCTTTATCCCTCTTTTTCTGCTTACAAATTTTGCTTCTCTCAGCTGAATCTATGCCAAATTCAAGATGTTTAATTTTGTATTCACTTCACTTTCACCAACAGTCTCCTCCCAGTATACTTTTCCAGGATGATCTTTGGGCTACTTTTGCCTACCAAGAAGGAGTTTAATCTACACAGCCTCTGCTTTTCTAAACTAAAAAAAAAAAAAAAATATATATATATATATACTTTTAAATTATATATATATAATTTAAATTTATATATAATATAATTTAATTATATATTATATAGAATATGTAGTATATAATATAATTTAAATTTATACATATATAATATATATTAGATTATTACATTTATTTATTAACACTAATTAATTTCACCTAAAGATTTTTTAGTACCCTAAAATGTGTTTCAAAAAAGCATTTCTTCAGTGTTTTTAAGTATATATTTAAGTCAGTTTTAAATTATATTTAAGAGCCTTAGTAGTTCTTATTTTAACTTTTATTCTTCTAGTTCCTTTGATACTTTTCATCTAATTTTTATTTTAATATTTTAGAATTAAAAACATGAACTCTTCTGGAAGCAAATAAATTATGGTGAGTTTCAAATTTAAATTTGTACTTAGAAAACTCTCTGGTATAAAAGGAACAAAAAGTGAAAAAAAGTGTCATCTATGCCTAGTTATGGGTGAGATCTGCTAAATGCCACTGAAAGGAAAAATCCACACCTTGGCAGGACCAAATTCCAAAAAGCCATAGCTGTTCTACAATGCTTAGAGTTCCACAACAATAAGTGGCTTTCCTGGGATTCATATTTTCCCTAAAATGAGGAAATATATATTGTGAAAATAAGTGTCATTGTTGACTATTAAATTAGGCCTGACTTTCACATTGCTTCCTAAAGTCCCTGCCCCTCCAGAAATGGTATCATTTGGGGTGGCAAGATAAATCTTATTTCCAGTGGAGAAGTGGGTCATGGAAAATGGTGATATTAGCCTGGACATTTCTGCATTGAGACAACTAGACATTCTGATTAATCAACTGAAGTGGCAGGATGGGTTATCTGGATTTCACAGTTATCATTTTCTCTCAGTTGGGCTTTCTCATCACCAGTAACAAAGCTGTGTTGGTAACTTTATTCCTTCCAGTGTTTGTATTTGTCTCCATCCATACCGAGCTTGTTTCCATTTTAGGACCTTTGTGCTTGCTGTCCTACTGTCTGGGTTGCTCTGTACCCAGACCTTTGTACGGCCTCAAATATCTCCTGCTTAGATATGACTTTCCTGAACTCCAAATTCACATGTCCCCCTTTTCCCAGTCACTCCATTATATCATTCTGTCTTATTTCTTTCATCGCATTTGTCACATCTTGAAATTATCTTGCTTGTATTATGAAATTAATTTACTTAATGTCTATAATCATCTCTAAAGTGGCATCTCTATGATATGATAAAACCTTGATCATTTTTTTTCACCACCATGTTCTCTTCACCTATAACATGCCTGGAAAACAGTGGTACTCAATAAACACTTATAGAGAGGATAATTAAATGGTCATTTTAAATTTAAACTATTGTATATTTTTAAAGATATAGAAGAATAGAATATTTATCAGGGACTATGCTTACCCAAGTGCACTGATCTGAACTCAGGTTCTGTGGTACATTGATATTTGGGCATATGAATGAGCTTTGCTATACTCATGTTTGTTTTTGGATTAAGGAAAAAGCCTTTCCCCTCTCAGTTCTATTAATGGGAGGAATGAAGTGACCTGTCTGTGTCTGTCAGTCATTACTGGGAGAATGAGAACACTGATCTAAGTGTCAAGTTTTTGACACTTTGTAAGTGTCAAAATCTAACTCTTCAAATATAGTTTGAACTTTTGACATATAAATTTCAAAAATCCATCACTCTTATGGCTTTTATTACTGTAACTAAAGAAAAGTTTCAACCTTTTATTTCCTGTCTTAGAACATTTTATTTTTAATGCAGTTGTTAACTCTGCTAATGAGTGTTTTTTATTAACAACCAAGTCAACTCTTTATATGTAAGCATTTTAATACATGCATAGAGGCATTCACAATGTCTTACAATTTCATGCTTTTGAAAATACTAAGTTTTAAGTATATCTCATTGACTGTCATGCTTACTGAAATTATTGGCTAGAAAGACACACACATTCAGAGAATGTCTTGTGAACTTTTATGCTAATAATTAGGAATCTCTTCTACTGAATGAAGGATAACTTGGGCAGGTTAATAGTACTATCCCCAAATTTATTTTTAAAATTGAAAATATACTATTGTACCTTATCTTCTATAACTGTTTGGGAAATAAATGAGTCTTTATAGAACAGATGATGACACTGTTAAGTATCATTTTTCACCTAAAAAGAAAATAACATGCATTAATGATTTGTAAATCATAAACTTCTGCCAGATGTGGTGGCTCGTGCCTGTAATCCCAGCACCTTGGGAAGCTGAAGCAGGTGGATCACCTGAGGTCAGGAGTTTGAGACCAGCCTGGTCAACATGATGAAACCCCGTCTCTACTGAAAATACAAAAAATTAGCCAGGCGTAGTGGTGGGCACCTGTAATCCCAGCTACCGGGGAGGCTGAGGTAGGAGAATCCCTTGAACCTAGGAGCCAGTGGTTGCAGTGAGCCAAGACCGTGCCACTGCACTCCAGCCTGGGCAACAAGAGTGAAACTCCATCTCTAAATAAACAAATAAGAAAATTCTGCACTAATATAAATGATCAACATAAGCCTCAAAAAAA